GTAGGATTGCATCCAGCTCACCGATAGTTTATCAAAACCAATTGCTTTTAGCTTGTCAATCAGAATGGGGTGATTGACAGTGTCGAAAGCCTTTTGTAGGTCCAGCATCACCATGCCGCAGAGTACTTGCCCTCGTCCACCTCTTGTTTGATGTGGTCGCTCAAATAAAGAAGGCATGTGTCAGTGGAGTGGGATGTTCTAAAGCCAGATTGAAATTCATAGATTAGTTTCTTTTCCGCGAGGTACTTTTCGACCTGTTCATATACTATTTTTTCCATGACTTTCGAGATGGAGGTAAGTATAGAAACAGGGCGGTAGTTGCCTGGGTCCAATTTGCTGCCCTTTTTGTGCAGGGGGGTTACTCTTGCAATTTTGAAGTCTTTGGGTACTTTTCCCTGTTTTATGGAGAGGTTAATTATGTGAGCTATGACTGGTGAGATGGCGGTTGCTGTGTCTCTGAGGAATTTGGAGGGGATATTGTCGTGGCCAGTGGCCTTGTTAGGTTGGAGGGCGCTCAGTTTAATGAGTACCTCTGCTGTTGTTACCCTTGCTAGACTGAAATCATCTTTGCGTACCCCTAGGTTTTTGTAGTAGGTCATGATGTGATCTACTCCAAAAAGCCCTGAGTGGGAGGGTAATTTATTTACAAGAGTTGTGGCTATGTTTGTGAACAAAATGTTCAAGTACTTGGCCACATCCAGTTTGTCTGTGATGAGCCTGTTAACTGTCTTTATGTTTAAGTTAGAAAATCTCGTTTTGAGTTTTTTACTGCAGCCAAGCTGGTTATTGAGTAATTTCCAAAGTTCACGGGGTTTATTTTTGTTTTCCTCAGTTTTGACATTGATGAAATTCTTTTTGGCAGTTTTGATCATGGAGCTTACGTCATTTCTTAGTCTGTTTCTTTCAATTTTTAGTTCAGTCACGTGGGCCTGGAGTTCACTGCTCGTGCTTTTGGAAAGCATTGACTGACTTTTATGAAACTCAGAGCATTTTTTGTCTCTGGTTTTCATGGCGGTCAGTATGCCGGAGTGCATCCACGGCTCAGCGCGATTTTTTACCCTGGTTGTTCTTAGGGGGGCCAAATCATTGAGTATTGCAGAGAATTTGTTTTTGAAACCAAGCAATGTTTCTTCAACTTGTGTACCACTGAGCTCATCTGACCAGTCCAGGCTCTCCAGTTCTAGGTTAAAGGCCTCGCTAGAGTAGTTTTTGAAGTCTCTAGATATGACTGTTTTGTGACAGCCGGCCCTTTGTTTTAGCTTTTTGCGGGTACAGAATATCATATAATGATCACTTAAACCGCATGCTATAACCCCTTTACTGGAGATCCTGGACTTGTCAGAGGTCAGAATGAGATCAATGGTAGTTTGTGTTGTTTCACATACCCGGGTGGGTTGGGTGATTAGCTGGCTGAAGCCGTGCAGATCACAAATCCTACTGAAGGACTTGAAGACGGACGTGTCTTTACGTTGCATATCCGTGTTCCAGTCTCCAATAATAATTGTCTCTACATCCCCCACATCAGCCAAACACCCATCTAATGTATCATAAAAGTCACTCTGTTCCGGTGGTCTATAGATTGTCCCGACTATTACAGATTTAGCATTGTCAAAAATAATTTCAACCCACACAGATTCAATATTTTCATGATGCAGGTCAGTACGGTTTTTGAAATTGGTGTATTTATGTATGTACATGCAGATACCACCTCCATTCACGTTCCTGTCCCTTCTCACTACAAGATAATCTTCAATTTCAATCTCTGAATCTGTAATGGAATTGTCCAACTTGGTCTCAGAAAAGCATAATATGCTTGCCTTACCGTTCATGAATAGCTGCCTGAGTTCAGCCAGTTTGTGTCTCAGGCTGTTAGTGTTCAGATGAAAAATATGTAGTCCATTTTTGTTGCTTAAATGCACAATGTCGTCAGCTTGCAGATATTTGTCTTTGTCCGTTACAGCAACCGGTTTGGAGAGGTGGGGTGGTGGTGGTGGTGGGGGGAGGGAGGCTCCGTTGTAGCTTTAGCCGTTGATATGCTAGCAGGGTGGCTAACAACATGGCGGATATTTGTTCCCTCGGATCTCGGTTCTCTTCCTCTCGTCACTGCCTCATGCGTGTCTGTCTGCCGAGGCGTCCCCGGGGGAATCTCGAAGTCTCCGTTTATTCCTTGGTCTCCGCTGTCTCCACTGTCTCTGTTGTCGTCGCGTAGTTGTTGTTGCAGCGGAAGAGATGCTAGTTCTGATGCTAATTGAGATGCTAGCTCCTCGAGCCTGCAGGACTGGCTTCTTGTCTGCACCGGGCCCGGATTCAGATGGATGTCTCCCGCTAACAATAAGACCAAGACGATCATACTTCTTCGGTCTAGTTTGCCTGACGGGGGTAAGTACTTTCGCGTCGGGTTTGCAGTTAATAATGCATGAATGCTTGCACTTCCAAAAGCGAGGTGTTTCCTTTCCCAGCCGTTGAGAAGGTAAAAGTCACTGTGGTTCATTTTATCCCCGCTTTCATTACTCTCCTTCTCTAAGTGATGTTGCCTCATTGATGAGTTGAGGTAGGAGTCCATAATCCATATTGTCAGGAGGATGAAATATGTAAAAAATCGTGAGGAATAACTGCCAAAGCGGGAGCTCTCGAAAATGCGACCACTCATAGTGAAACCGGACATGCCAGCAGCTGTGGAGCCAAAGCTAAGAAGCTGTAGTATTCTCTGGTGGCCTACTCCGCTGCCAAACCTTTCCATAAGAAGGGAGTTTTGGCATGGGGGCTGACACAGAAAAGGGCCAATTTTCTACTGAGGTCCTTGAACGCACCGCGGCACGCTCCCGTGGGGCCGCGGCTCTGTCCTAATGCCGTCCCTTTGAAACGGACATTATGGTGAAAAGTGGAAATGTGGAGAGAGATGACTCTTGCTCTGGGATAAATGCAATCGTTTTCACTGAATGCGTTTCTCACACACACATCACTCTCTCTTGAACCCGCAGTGTTTTGACAGCACTTCGGTTTATTCCACTCAAGTGCACGCGCCCACCTGCTGGCTCCTATACTGGAGTTTACAGAGGGGGCGGGGAGTGTGGGACAGTGTTATTTCCTCTGGGGATGAGGAAGAAGCAGCCACGCATACTTGCCAACCTTGAGGCCTCAGAAATCGGGAGAATTTCAAAACCACCGCAGGGGGGGGGGCTGTGCTAGTGGATCGCCGGAGCTGTATTAGATTAACATGCTTATTGTAGTTGTAAGTGCACTGCCTTGCGGCCTGAAGCACCATCCTTGATGGAGCATATGTGTGGGCTGGAAAGGAGTGAGCAGAGGTTAGAGTTGTCGTTTCTTGTTCTGTTTTCTGTGATATATCTTCCTCACCCTCTCAGACTTTCAGTTGCGCGCGCTACTAAAGAGACGTGCTACCATGGAAACAAAACAATGGTGTAGCTGTATTAAAGTCCGAGTGGAAACAGTCCTGAGTAAATCTGATTTAGTCAGAAATCGGGAGAAATGCGGGGAGAAATATGACCCCGGGAGGAAACCGGGAGAGGGCAATGAAATCAGGAGTCTCCCGCGAAAATCGGGAGGGTTGGGAAGTATGGCCACGCGACTACTCCTCACCCACCAAGGAGATCGATCCAAAGAGCCTTTCCGTAAACACGGGGGCTCCCGGTCCGGGAGATCAACACGGTCCTTTTGGAAAGTGCGGCGTGATCCCTCACCGGGATATCACACGGCAGACAACGGCGGCGGCCACGATCAAGCTACAAATAATCGCTCTGATCTGGTGAGGTGGGGGCATCTCCAGCAATGAGCGAGATGCCCAACATACCCGTGTTTATTTGCAGTCGCCTTGTCACGCGGTAGTGTGGCAGAGCTCTTTTCAGCTCCCTGCCCAGCCTGCTGCCCGCAGGGAGCAGCTACGCTCCGCCGCCATGGTCATCACCGGGCGGTGGACCTCCATGGACCGGACCCGGAAGTGCCCGACAACGGCAAATGGAGCCATCCGCCCCGCTGGAATGGCGAACGTGAATGGCACCGCCTCGGCCGTATCCTGGTCCCCCAAACACTCCTACGTTTACGTAAACTCAGTAGGTGAAAGCACGCACAGCATGTGTGAAATATAACTATACGTTGCCCACGCATGGGCTCAGAACAGTCTAGTAATACACACATGCACACAGAAGGATTCACACTTGTATTTCCGGATCCACACTTGTGATTTCAATGCACACACAAATGTGTTCCGTTTCATATGCATGTAAATAAAATCAAAATACAGAAAAAAGTTTTACATATGTGTTTTTGATCCTCACATATTTGTTTTCCGTTTAAAACCTCTGAACCTGCAAACACAAACCGCTTTCTGTGCACGGATCGCTGTGCATCTGTGTGTGGGTTTTTTGAGACTCCCCTGACGGTCAGCCGATTCGTACTTATAATATTTTCTATCTATAGCCAATCAGATGTCTCCTCAATTCTAAGGCAATCACATGAGCGCGCCCCCACGAGGGTAGATTTCTTGCGTTCATGACGTAGCGCTTCATTTATGCATTTTGCGCTGTCGGGAGCTGACAGGTCCATGGAGCCTGCCTGCAGGCGCTAATCTCAGGACACCTCCACTCTCAGTATATTGCCACTTTCCGAACAGGAAATGCACGCAAATGCAAGCCTTTATATTATTAAGGTACAGCGCCACTTTACGAACCAATAGCCGCGTTCACACTGAGTACTTTTCACCCATACTTTTCACGTTTAGTTCCAATAGTACCCCTGATGTCGCGTTCACACCAAAAAAATAACTAAGTGCCGGGAACTTTTCACCCCATTTTTAGCAGGTACTTTCCTGGGGAAAAAAAGTACCACAGTTCTGATTGGCTGGGCGATTGCAAACCACGCCCGTAAAAAAAAAAATGTTGCTCGCTATATTAGCCCAGCGCACCAACGGAGAGAGTAGTTTGTTGTGAAAAGCAGTTATGGCAAGCATCAATAAAGCATTGGAGCGGTGGAGTGATGAGGAGATGTCGGCGCTTCTGGCAATTTACTCCGAGGACACGACCCAGGAGCTGCTACTGAAGCCAGTATCCAACGCTAAAATGTTCGACCGTTGCTCGGCTAAATTACTCAAACTGGGAATCATCCACAGCGCCAGCGCATGCCGACTAAACATTAAGAAACTCCGGCAAGACTACAAAAAGATTAAAGACCATAATAATAAGAGTGGTAACGACCGGAAGACCAGTAAATGGGACGAGCGCTTGGATGATCTGCTCGGCATCGACTTTCGATTCGGGCACAATGGTGTGGGAGGCCGCTCTAACGGAGGATTCAGTGGCCAACGACGACGACCAAGACGAAGGTAAAATAAACTACATGCACTGGGGTTTTAATCTGCACAATAATGATCTCAGATATACTTTTATTTGCTCAGTAGATCGAGCTAGCCATTTGCTGAACTGGCTAACACTGTTAGCATGCCGGCCCCGAGCTGGCTAATAACATCTAGCTAGCTAGATATTCTCGGCCGCTATGAAAACGTTTTGACTTGTGAATAAGTGTGCAGTGTTTCTGTAATTTGCTTCACTAACTCATGGCACTAATCGTGTGTTTCAGGCGAGGCTGGACAACTATCGGGCTTGGAAACAAGCGTGCTTCCGCTCGAGATTGCAACAGCAGCCGTTGCTCGTCCCCCTATCCACAAACCAAACGCAAAGGTACACACACTGTAACTTGGTCTTGAAAGAACGTTGCGCATCGAACTGATGTTCACAATCACGTTTATTTCCTTCTTGGTACAATTATGAAACAGTGTGAAACAAAATTAACAAAATTAAACAAAGTTCAAGCATACATTAAGCACACACACACACACACACACACACACACACACACACACACACACACACACACACACACACACACACACACACACACAGTGTGTATATTACATTGCATTTAGCTGAGGCTTTTATCCAAAGCGACTTACAATAAGTGCATTCGACCAGGAAGACACAAACCTGAAGAAAACAGAATCATATAAGTACATCAGGTTTCATAGAGCCAAAACATTTCAAGTGCTACTCAACTGGCTTTAGATAAGCCAGTCCTTTGTTAGTATATAAGTGCTCTGTGTATATATATAAATATATATGTATTAGGGCTGTCAAGTTAACGCGTTAATAACGCGTTAACGCAAAACAAAATTAACGCCACTAATTATTTTAACGCGATTAATGCATGTGCATTTTTTGTCCTCGGCCGCCCCGTAGTTTCAGAACGCATCGAGTTTAAAATACCATCTACAAGCTGATGCTGATCCTGCCGTCTGCTTGCGGCAGACCACACTTCCACGCTCACCGGCAGGCACCGACTGGCCATCGGGAGGACCGGGAGGGTGTGTGTGGCACGAGTGAGAACGCGCACACCTTACGTGTTGTTGTTGTTGTTAGCATCTGGTGCTAGCTAGCTGCGCTAACGGATATGAAAACAGAGGAGCGACATTTCACCGACAACTGCGCCGAGCACTTGACTTTATGCAGGAAGCCAGACAGTGGGACATTGTATGAAAAGTCAGCACACTCCACACGGATAGTGCGAGCAACATGATTGCAGCGTCCAGGCAGCTCCTGTTCGAGCATAGGCCTTGAGTTGCACATAGCTCCAACGATCCATCACACACACACACACACACACACACACACACACACACACACACACACACACACACACACACACACACACACACACACACACACACACACACACACACACTTTGTGTTTTATTATTGTATGAGAGAGGTTCCAGGTTGAATTGAGGCGAATATTTGTAATGTTCAGAGGTTGTTGTGTTTAATAGTCATTAGAATATTTGTCATTGATAAAATGATAATAAACAAACATTTGCATAAAGCATATTTGTCCACTCATATGTTGATAAGAGTATTAAAAACTTGAAAAATACTCCTCTAAGGTACATTAAGAACAGATAAAAAATGTGCGATTAATTTGCGATTAATCGCGATTAACTATTTTAATCGACTGACAGCCCTAATATCAAACGATTACAATGTTTAATCAGATTAATCACAGCTTAAAAATTAATTAATCATGATTAATCACCATTCGAACTATGTCCAAAATATGCCATTTCTTTATGTATATTGTTGTGGGAATGGAAAGATAAATGAAAGAAGGCGGATACATCCATTTAACATACAGTATCTATGTTTATTATAACATTTTTCTGCGTGTCAAAATGAAAGACAACCCACACACCTATCAATCATCAAACCGTGGGGTCTTAATTCATTACGTGTTGATTTCTATCAACGGGGGAGTAGCCTACTTCAGGAAAGTCGACAGGGGGGGGGGCTAGTGGAGTACTTCCTGACCACAGAGTGTGAACGTTGTGATCAGCTGTTTTAGCGCAGTTCTCCAGTGAAGAGGGGGAGTCTCCCTCCGCAGCCGGTTGGCGTAGTTTTGGCACAATTCCGTTGTACAGACCGACGTTAACAGCAGCCCTGTCTGTGCACACGGAGACCGACTCTGTCGTCCGGTGATCTAACCGCCTTCTGGAAGCTTCACAAGTACGTCGGTACGCAAATGCGCTTTGTGACACAAGTGACGGTACGCATTTCAGATTACGTACATAACCTGCGTACCAGCTATGTGCACCCCTGTACTACAGCAAAAGTATTCTCCGTCAGGACTTCCTGCAACAACACCACGCCGTTATCTTGATTATGATTGGCCAGAAGACATTATCAAAGATGTTCTATTGAGAAGACGATCACTACGTGACACAAGTTTTCAAAACCGTTTCTGGTCTTCTGTATTTCCAGACAAGTGGCTACTGAAATCAATCTTACTAACTGCTGTCTGTGCAATTTACTCCGCGTGAGTTGGCGGACTTTATTTTGCTTACTTTAACATCATTTTTCATGGTGGGGCTAAGCCATTTATTGGTATGAGTGTAGCCTACCCCAGCCATACCCTGGCGCTGCCACTGGTGGGATTTATGGGGCGGGCCATTCTGCACATGCATTAAATGCGTTAAATATTTTAACGTAATTAATTCAAAAAATTAATTACCGCCGTTAACGCGATAATTTTGACAGCATTAATATATATATATTTTATGCTATTTGATCCTATATTATCTTCTACTATACACCTGCATTGTGTACACTGTACCCTGTCCAATGTTGACTAGTAAACACATTCCTATTATGTTGTAAAACTACATGGCGACTAAACAGATCTTGTATCTTGCTTATTTTTCCTCTTAGGAAAGCGGGCACGGGACGAGAATTTTTTGGACACCGTCGAGGCGATGGAGACCTGGCGTGCGGTGGTCAAAGACACTATGCACGTGGAGCAGATGGCCCAGTTAAGCAAGGCCCATGAAATGGAGGACAAGACGCTCATGATGATGGAGCGCCATGCGGAAGTGTTGACGCGGCAGGTGGAGCACCAGCAGCGCCAGGATGAAGTGTCGGCGCGGCACCAGGAGCACCAGGATGAAGTGTCGGCGCGGCGCCAGAAGCGCCAGGAGCGCCAGGATGAAGTGTCGGCGCGGCGCCAGGAGCACCAGGATGAAATGTCGGCGCGGCGCCAGGACCGCCAGGATGAAGTGTCGGCGCGGCGCCAGGAGCGCCAGGATGAAGTGTCGGCGCAGCGCCAGGAGCACCAGGATGCAACACGTCCTTTGCCGGGTTTCCTGCCAACACCATCCTGTTGGGGGTCCCGCCGACACCAGCCCTTGCTCCGTCGGGGGTAGCGCTGACACCAGTCCATGTTCCGTCCAGGGTCCCGTCTACGCCTGACCCACCAGAGGTTCCACCAGCTCCTGCTCTCGATCCCAGTGCTCTGACGATCCAGCTGACAATGGAGGGGTCCCATCGCGGCCTATGCCGTCTTCCTGCCCGTCCTCCGGAGCTGTCCCGGCGCTGCCTTCCTGCCCGTCCTTGTGTCCGGCCCCCTGAGTTCTCCAGCCACGGCCTTCGCCCTTGAGCCCGGCCCCCTGACTCTTCCAGCCACTGCCTTCGCCCTCATGCCCGACCCCCTGAGTTCGCCCGCTGTGGCCTTCGCCCCTTTTTTAACTCTGCCTGAGGGGGGGGGGGGGGGGGGTAATGTCACGATCTGTCTGTGTTGTGTTTTGTCTTGTCTAGATCTGTCTTTGGCTTCCTGTCTGTGTGTTCCCTCCTACCTCCTCACCTGTCTCTTGTTTCTGTGATTAGTCTTGTGTGTATTTAAGTTCTGGTTTTTCTGTCTGTCTTTGTTAGATCCTTGTTTGTCTTTGACTGTGTTCACAGGGAAGAGTTCTGTTTGTTACATTAGCCTTGAAATAAAGGTATTTTCTGTTTAAATCTGCAGTTGGGTCCTGCCTGCTTCACTTAACCCTGACAGCCTAAGTGTGAATTGAAATACAAATGTTCTTAAGATTTCCTTTGTCATGTTGTGTTTTTATTGAAGAAATCAGAAAAATTACAAATGCCTTTGTTCTGTTTTAAAACCAAAATGGGTTAGGGAAAAAAACATTAGTTAAGACATGAAAACATTATTCTTAAAAGCCAGGATTTTGTCAACTGTCTGTTTTTATAGGAGCCTTAACAAACAGAAAATACTGTTAAGTATAAGTTCTAACTTGTTGTAGGTCATTAGCAGCACTTACCTTAAGAGTAACTTTAAGTTGTTAACATAAATCTTAAGACTTTCTCCTGTGTCAGTGTTACATGTATGTTAATGTTATGTGTTGTGCTTCTAAACATGTTACTGTTTTATGAAAACCGTTTGAAAGCACTTTCTGCTGCTTATGTTAATAAAATGTATTAACATTTCCATAATGTTCTCTTTTTTAAATCTATTTGTTTAATCTGCAATGTTTGAATGCTATCAAATATTCAAAGGGTTGGATTGAAATCAGGAAGAGTTTGTCATATAAGTTCTGGTAACTCAATTGTGTTTTATAATTTACTTTATTTATTCTTGTCTTATGTGGTTCTTAGCAGATTGTTATTTGCATTGGTTACACTTAATATGTTGGCTTTTAATTGTAGGCTCATCTCATCTTTTCACCTGCAGAAAAAATCACATTAGTGAGTTTACCCAACTCCTAAAATTGCTTGGAACCACTTGACACATATTATTTAAGTTTTACCAAAGCAACAGTTTTTACAGTGTAGTGCTTGCTTTACTCTTTGAAAGTCATAATATAAATGCATTGTAATAAATGGTTCGGCTGCATTAAATATTAAACATCTGCCTTAGTTCTTTATTTATCTTCAGAGATTGGGCCTCAGAATAGACCGGAAACTTTTAACGTTCTGTTTTAATTTCACAATAAAGTTAATAGTAATGTTTTGTTTGATATTATTATTTTGTATTAACTACACCGCTGGTATTCTCTACAACAGATGTTGTATAATATCATACAAATACAACAACTGACTAACACTTAAGAAAGTCATTATTACGGCCACATTGTCAATGTAGAGATGCACAAGTCGGAATAGACATAAACACGTATCTCCGGTTACATATGCAAATATGGAATGAACTTCAATAGTATTTATGAAGGAGAGTTGAGGAGCTCACCTTTACCAGAGTTCCACAGAGGCTGACAGGTGCAAAAACGTGTTACAACAGAGTGAAGCTGCCATTTCAAAACGATGCAAATCACAAATGTGCCGAAACATATCTGAATGAAGAAACATACTATAGTTATATAGTTTGATCACTTTTCAGAGAAACACAGGGGAATATTTGAATGTAAAAGAAACAGTCACAGGTAATTCCTGCTCCTGTCTCCATCCAAAAAGATAAGATAAACCTTTATTGATCCCTGTAGGGAAATGCATGTGTTTATTTAGCAACAGGAATTATAACACACCTTTAACTTAACTTCAGCAGTAAATAAACCAAACATCTGAACGTTTCAGGCTTATGAATCATTCAGTGTTTTAAATAATTGTAAAAAATGTAATAAATTAAAACCGAATGAGAGAGAAAGATACACAAAGAAAAGAGAAGGACAGCCAAATGAGGGAAGCTGGGAGAGAAGAGAGAGAAGCAGCAGAGAAATGATGATGAGGAGGAAGCTGATATAATTTGCCTGTCAGAATTAATTAGGGCTAAACTGGACACGCACACACAAACACACACACCATGGTTTTAATTCTAGAATCTCATTTCAGATCTGATTAATTACTCTCTCACGCTTGACGAAGGAATCAACAGCTAAGCTGAAGAGATTAACACACACACATACACAGATGGTAAATGAATAATTCATCCAGCTCGCATGTATTTGTTTTTGTTTTAAATTGAAAATGTAACACAACAGCAACACAATTATATCAGCAAAACTATGGGAAAAAAACTGTGTGTGTGTGGGTTTACTTATGCTCAAATTGGGGACTTTCATCAGTTCACACACCAGTCATTTGAGGACGCCTTTCCCTTTGGGGACCAAAACCACCGTCCCCAATTCGATTTAATTGTGAATGTATTCAAAATGCTCAAATGTATTGTGGCCTATTGTGTGTGTGTGTGTGTGTGTGTGTGTGTGTGTGTGTGTGTGTGTGTGTGTGTGTGTGTGTGTGTGTGTGTGTGTGTGTGTGTGTGTGTGCTCACCACTCCACCCCCCCACTCAATCTGTGTATAACTCTACATCACCCCTAGTGGTATTTGTGGGGGATTACCGGGTCCCCAAAAGTGATGTTTTTGACATGTTCTGTGTGTCCAGGGCCCTATACATATGTAGCATTCTAGAAAGGACTCCAGCCAACAGCTTCCTGCCAAAAACCCAACGGATCCCAGCGACTGGGAATGTTAAGCCCTCCCACTATTTTCCAAGAGGGCGTTGCCAGATTTTCATTTTCAGGATTTAACCAGGAGGTGGCGCTTCATTCACAAATACAGAAAGACAAGTTTCATGGACTTTCAGTACTTCAGTTGTGTTTTGGTGAAGAGCATTTGAACACATATTTGTTATGGTTTTCACAGGCTACTACAGTATAACAAAGAAACATCAATATTTTAGATCAAATAAAGTATATCTAATCTTGTAATTCAATAATATATAATCTTTATATATTAAATAAGGCTGGAGCCACTACACAGAGGAGGGATGAGAGTGTGGTTTCCTCTGGACGACCTGCTATTTGCTGGCTCGCTCCAGGGAGGAAGTCGCTTTACAGACGGTACATCTCGTATCACATCTGTCAAAGCCTGGGTTTCATAATACATTGGAAGAAGAGCTGTCCTCTTCCCTCTCAGACAAAAGTTTATCTGGAGTGGAATTAAACTCAGCCAGCAGCAGGCATAGCCGCGGGAAGTCATTTTGCTCAGGGGGTGCTGCCAAAAGTGAGGAGGGAGCCGCTTAAAAAAAAAGAAAAAAGGCCGTGCCGGGCCGGGCCCATTTGTCAGCGATACGAGCCGCATACATTGTTTGTTAAAGGCGAGACACGGCAGGCAAAAACATCGTTTTTCATGCACTGGTCAATTTTGAGATGTTGTACTATTTTGATTCCATAACATGTTTTCTTTAAGGCTTTTGGAAGTAAAACGTACAAAATACACATTTAAGTGTTCATTTTACTATAGTTGGTCTATTTGCGTCTGTATATTTCTCCTAAATTCACCAAAAGTTAGCATTCTAACGTAAGATAAAGTACCGCGACCGCTGTTTGCACAATGTCATCGCTGGAAAGCTGAGTCTCTCCTGCACAATCTCATCGGATCCAAATATGGTCATTTCCTTTGTATCAGCAACCAATCGTGAAAGCACAAAGGGGTCTTAAACCAAGAAACAAAATCTCATTGGCTCGTGTCAACTTCTGACAACGTGATTCGTTCAGATGCGTCACGTGGTGTGCTAAAACACCTCCTGGTTAGCTTTCCGCTAGAAATGTACATCTCAAAATGGCAAAGGAACGGCGAAAAAAACGTTCACAGAGAAGACGACAACAATTGTCACTTGCACGAAGCAAGGTTATACAAAACACAAATGACCCCGAACATGAAATACCTTCACGGAGTGCGTCGATGCGCAAGCTGTCATCCAAAGAACAGGAGGGTTTAGCTAGCGCCTCACTGCAATCTTTAAAGGTCGTTTTCTCAAAATGAGTTTTTTCTCCTACTCTGAGTTCGAAATGTCCACTTCAGTAGCACGTACATACACCAAACCTTCCAGTTATATTCCTATCAATATTATGAAGGCTTTTACAGAAGGGTTTGTTCATAGATCATTCATAGCCTGAATTATATAAGATTTTATACCTAGAAACATGGCGAAAATTGATATTTTAGGGCTGTTGACAGTATTTTCTGATTTATGGAGTGATAAAAAGAGATATCCAATATCCCTTCTGTAAAAGCCTTAGATGCTAATATGACTACAAAATGAAATGAGCATTTTGAACCTGGCTTTATCCAAAGTTCAGATTTCGGTTCCTGAAATGTGTTAAAATATGCGCAAATGTAATGAGATAATGGCTCATTTGCATATTCAGGAAACTTGTAATATAAGAAACAATTTCCTTATTGTAGGTAATTAACTGGAGAAATTACCCTATTCACCTGGGGTGTCTCGCCTTAACTTTAATAAACCATTATAGACCTTAGCAACAGCTGCACATGCCCACATGCTAACTATGGGTCTTACAAACCTACATAACATTACAAATAGTCAGAAAATATTATTTACAATATTAATAAAACTATGAATTCAATTTTAACTGATTGACAAGGCAAAACACTGCACAGCGGCAGCAGCATTAAAGGAAACATCGTCTTACCTTGTGTTGGGGCTTCCCAAAACTCCAAATGTAGCCTTCCTCTCTGAAGTGGCACTAATGAAGACCCTCATTAGAGCAGATACATCCACATTGTCCAAAATGTTACTATGGACATGCATTAAAGTCAGATGTGT